TGGATGGATGGATGGATAAACAAATAAATGGCTGGATGGGTGGAAATAAGTAAGTAAATAAAAAATATTGCTTGAGTGACTATGTACATGATTATATGAATAAATTAATAATTTAACAGAAGAATGAGCAAAAAAAAAAAATTAGTGAATGAAAAATACAAATGAATGAATAAATGAATAAAAGGAATAAAAAGGAAGAAGTAGTGATATTTATTTTATTTATCAATTTTGATATRAATTTTACAGGAATTCTTTGCAATTAAACGTAAAGGGAACTGAGGAGATGATCAAACTATGCAAGGAAGCCAAGAAACTTGAGGTATGGCCACAGTATGATCATAAACAACAACTAGTTAGTTCATGATCAATGGTCCAAATCCACTTGGATGTAATGTTTTCGCATTACAAACACGTATCATTCTCTTGAGAATAACATTCTTTGTTTGAGTATTCATATTCATGTGTCTTCTTAGCGCAACAGTTAAACAAAAAGTTCAAGCCTCAGCCAGACCAACACTYAGGGTCTTAAAATAACCGAGGAGAAGGTGCCACCTTTTTAATAATATCTTCAAATCTATAATTTTTATTTTTGCAGGTTCTTCTGCATGTTTCATCAACTTACGCCAACTGCGACAGAACTGTTGTAGAGGAGAAGATTTATCCACCAACTGTTGAACCGGAGAAACTCATTAAATCGTTAGAGTAAGGCATTCAAATCTGTACCCCATACATCTAAGTCCAAAATGGCACATGGCTGAGTGTGTCACATGAAAATGAGGCATCCAGGGCCAAATACAAAGAAATAATATGGTGTCAATGCAAAGTAAACACTTGTTCACTTGTTCTGTCTTCCTTTTCTTCTTACATTCAGGAACGTGACAATTTAGCAGCATCAAATTATAAGAAAATACTGTAAATTTGTAAATTTGGCCCTGGATGCCTCATTTTCAACCGGCCATGCACCATTTTGGAATTAGGTGTATGATTTCATCAGTACACACAGTACAATTGATGATATACCATAATGTTTTTTTTATTGATAATAAAGATGGATGGATGATGACATGGTGACGGCAATCACACCTCATGTGATCGGCAAAAGACCAAACACATACACCTTCACAAAGAGTCTTGCTGAGCATGTTCTGTCACAGCAAGCTGCTGACCTTCCTGTAGCCATCTTCAGACCATCGATTATCGGCGCATCATTAAAAGAACCAATTCCAGTAAGTATGAGAAATGCAAATACCTTAATTTCTCCTGGTCACTGTCCAGCTATACATAACTTTAAGCCTTAATGCATGCACAGATTTTAATAAGCTCAGAGGTTGTTTCAGGGTTCAATCTGTGAGTTAGCCATGCCCTGATTTAGATCAACCCAGAGGTTGTTTCAGGGATGATCAATCTGTGAGTTAGCCATGCCCTGACTTTGATAAACCCAGAGGTTGTTTCAGGGTTCGATCTGTGGGTTAGCCATGCCCTGACTTTGATAAACCCAGAGGTTGTTTCAGGGTTTGATCTGTGAGTTAGCCATGCCCTGACTTAGATCAGCCCAGAGGTTGTTTCAGGGTTTGATCTGTGAGTTAGCAGTGCTCTGACTTAGATCAGCCCAGAGGTTGTTTCAGTGTTCGATCTGTGGGTTATTCATGCCCTGATTTAGATCAGCCCAGAGGTTGTTTCAGGGTTCRATCTGCACTGTGAGTTAGACGTGCCTGACTTTGATTAGCACAGAGGTTGACTGATCATGACTAAGGTACTGACTCATTGGCACCAGGATGGGTGGGTAGGGGCCTATATTTTTTTGCAAAGAACTAAAAAATAATTATTCTGTATTTCGTTTTTCAGGGATGGGTTGATAATTTCAATGGTCCCTCTGGACTCTTTGTCATGGTAAGTGTTTACAGTTAGTGTGAAAAATATATTTATTGATTTTGGTAAATCAGTGGCAGATCCAGGGGAAAGGTTCAGGGGGTGCACACCCCTCCCTGGTTTGACTTTGTGCCCTACTTCAAAGATTTAACCAATGCATAATTATGTTTTTCCCTTTGATTGTAAGGGGTGCACCCCACCCTGGATTAACTATGTGCGCTGCACCCCTCCCTGAACAAATTCAGAGATCCGCCACTGCGAATGTGCTGTTGATATATCATGAGGGCAAAGCAGAGGGGGAAAAGTATTAGGACAGCAGCTCAATGATGATGATGACAATGATGATGATGATAGCAAAGCCGAATAGGTGGTATTGATGATTAAAGCACAAGTGGGCATTATGGTAGTGATAATGGTGATGATAGCGACTGCAGAATTTGTGTTGCTGATGATTGAATTACAAGTCGGAAAGATGGTGATGATGCTAGTGATGATGATAGCAACAGCATAATTGGGGGTTTTGATGATTGAAGCACAAGTTGGCATGATGATGATGATGATGATGATGATAGCAACTGTAGAGATGGTGGTGGTACTTATGATTGTAGCACACGTCAGCATAATGGTGATGATGATGATGATGCCAGCAACAGCAGAGATGGTGGTGATATGATGATGATAATGACTGTGGCATTTTCTATAATGTGGTATTTGTATCTCAAACATATATAATTGACCTTCAGGCTGGAAAAGGTATGCTTCGTTTCATGAAGGGTGACCTTAATGCCATTGCTGACATTATCCCAGTGGATACTGCTGCCAATATGATGATATGTGTTGCATGGGAAACAGGAGCCAAAAGGTATTAACTAATAAACTATTCACTCCTCATGATTGTAAAATGTCTCAGCTCCAAGCTCCTTTACAACCAGCAGTTAGGTAGATCACGACGTTTCGACTGCTACTGCTAGTATTGATCAGGCGATGGTCTAGACTGGAAGGTGGTGTAGCACTAGCATTCGAAACGTCGAGGTCCCCCCAACTGCCACAATCCTTAGACAAACGAATAAGTATGATCTTTGATTTATATCCATGATGGAGAATCATTTTCATTTCGAATGAATAAGTCGTATTGTGTTTAACAGGTGGAAGGGTACTGGTATACCTGTGTATAACTGTTGTACTGGAACCATAAATCCTATTACTTGGGGAAAACTTGGTGAGTAAAAAATGATTTTAACATGTTTGTTTTTTAAGCATAGGAAATCAAATAGGTTCGAGTGCAGTTTGAAAAAAATATCATAATTGCAGTTCAAAATCAAGATTTTAAAATTGCACGAGCTAGAGCCGAGTTCCTCGTACTGTTCAAAAAAGTCCTAAGACTTTGGTTAATCATGAAAGCAGGTTATATATAGAAAAGAAAGCCATGTAGTTATGTTCGTGCACCCTGAGCCACGCACAGAGTGAAAAATCGTGCAAGTCTGTTAGTTTTTGCCTATTGTACGCGGATTCCCTTAGTGAAAATGGTTTTAGTATGTTCACAAGCCCAAAATGCATCGAAAAGTAAGCATTTTCAAACTTACTAAAACTTATTATAGTGTGGACAGCTCGTGCGTTGTATCCATAATCATGTGTGGACAGCTCGTGTGTTGTATCTGTATTCATGTGTGGTCAGCTCGTGTACGTTGTATCCGTATTCATGTGTGGACAGCTCGTTTGTTGTATCCGTATTCATTTGTGGACAGCTCGTGTG